CCCCCCATGATGATGCTACATGTGATGTGACAACAATGATTTGGGGTGATGACATATTGGATTACAAATGAAGGTGAGACTGGTATTGCTCATATGAGAAGCGCACTGTTTTGGTCTCTCTCATGAAGTTGATTTGACACCATTTCCAGTCCAGCAGAACTCTATGTGTAAATGCATAGCCCACTTTTTGTACCAATTGATCCTTGGCCCCCATACTGCAGATAGAAAAGAATAAGAATTCATTCATTGTTCTGCCTTTAACCATGATCAGAGGATGGCGGGTGCAATGCTCAGCCTCCTGCAGACTATTCCTCCGTGGCCATACAGCCATACAGCAGTACAGACCTTCAAGTGATATTAAACCTTCTTTTATCTGAGGGCCAGATGTGATTGAAATTGCTTTTTTATTAACATTTTATTGTCCTTGTTCTCAAGTTATGCCCAGCCCGCTAGCCTCCCTCCCTGTGTGTGGGGGTGTCTCCATCAGCAAGCCGGCTGCTGAGGAGACACTGATGTGTGCATACATGTGAACACAGTGTGCAGCAAGCCCGCACCCACTCACAGTTTGACAGCAGAAGGAGCCTATTGTGCCCTGAATACTGGTCCCAGCAGAGGAGACAACAGAAGAGCCTTCACCCCGTCCAACAGGAGCTCATGGAGCTCGGCTCTCGTTCTTGTCAGGGATGTCAGCGTGTCTGTATCTAACGCTGCCTTGTGGCGCATCTCTAGGTCATGTAGTTGGGCATATAGTTCGTCCACCCTCTTTTGTCGCTGACGTTTGCGTCGCGCCCCCAGCTTGATTAGGGTCCCCCGTATCACACACTTGTGTGCTTCCCACATGGTCAAGGGGTCTTGCGTTGGGGAGTTATTTTCCCTAAAATAGCACATGAGGTCTGATTGCACCTCCGTGGCAATGGCCAGATCTTGCAACAGGGATTCGTTGAGACGCCAGGATAGTGGTGGCTTGGTCTCGCCTCCGATACTCAATACGATATGTATGGGAGAATGATCCGACAAAGTCGAGGTACCAATGGAAACCTTGGATACAAGGGGAAGCATTGCATGTTGTAATAGGAAAAAATCAATTCTAGAGTACGATTGGTGGGGGGCCGAGTAGTGGGTGTAGTCCCTGCCCGTCGGGTCACTAATGCGCCAGGGGTCAATGAGCTGTAAGTCATACATCGAGCGCTTGATACGTCGTCTTTGAGCATGCGTGATCTGGGATAGTCCCCTAGAAGAGTCCATGGATGGGTCGAGCACCAAGTTAAAATCACCTCCCAGCACCCAAAGCCCTTCGGCAAAGGATAACATTCGTGACCACACTGAGTCTAAGAAGTCTATCTGACCGGAGTTAGGGGCATATATCGCTGCCAGAGTCACCTTCCGCCCATGGATTGCCCCCTTAACGAGCAGTAACCGCCCCTCTGGGTCGGCATAGTGGTCCTCATAAGTCCACACCAGGGATTTGGCCAACACTATGCTCACCCCTCTATATTTGGAATCCGGGGATGGGGCATGGTAGGACGTAGTGTATCTGTGGTTCCCCAGCCTTCCTTTTAAATCCTGCTCTTCCTTTTAAATCCTCATGTCTTCTCATGCTTGGGGAGAACTTCCCTTTGCAGCTGAGTGCCTCTTCCTGTAGTGCTGGCTCAGGTTGTGAACCTATACACAGACACCATGTATCCATTCCAGAGACAAGACAGTCTGCTGCAAAACAGAAGTTCTGCCCAGCATGAGTAGAGATACGGATTTAAAAGGAAGAGCAGCAAAGAGAAGGGAAACAACCATGAATTACAGTAAGGCACACATTACAGTATTGGTTTATGTTAAAAAATCTGCGGGTTTAATGTCACTTTATGAAATGATACTTCCGGTTACAGGGGCGGAGGACGTAATGAAGACTACAGGTGTGGTGACGTTGTTGCACTTGTAGTCCATTGATACCAAGCAGTTCCTCTGCCGCAGTGGCAGCATGGACTTGTTACATTGACAGATCCTGTGAATGGATGATGTGATTATGTGGACGGAACCACACACAGCTACAACAATTTCAAATACAGACGCCTGCGAGGAGGAGAACCCTAAAGATTCAGCTAAAGGGGGGGCTACGGAATACACCCTAAATATGAGTTTAACATTGAGCATGATGGTAAAGGCAGAATTAACCTTGAAATCAGCTAGATACATTCCAGGCCCATCAACACACAAAGTACAGCAAAGCCAGCATGCTGTAGACAAGGACCCTTAAGGCCCACTCACAACCAATGCTTTGGGGCGTTTTTTTCCAGGGCAGCCACACAATGAGGTAATTTGCCTTGTTCAGATGGGCTCAGTTCTGTGTTGTGGCAGTGTGAACTGAAAAGAAGCACAGCATGCAGAACAGTGCGATGTGCCCATAGAACGTACTGAATTGCTGGTGTGAATAAGCCCTAAATCCGTGTGGAAGCAGTGGTCTCTCTCCGCAGAGCTCCAACAAGCCCACTAATAATTCAGTTACAACTCTCCAATCAACAAGCGACGTCAGCTTTGCAGAGCAGAACTATAGGTTTGACGTGGGGGGGGGCATGTCAGACCTCCGTAGGGGTCATCTCTGTAATGCTGGTAGAGGACAGGCTTTGCTGTTCAGTCTGTTAGGCTACTTAACAAAACACACACACGTACAACGAACACACGTCTCCATTGGGGAGATTTACTCTGTCTTCCTGTCCTGGTGACAACAATCTCCAACAATGACCAGAAAGCAATAAAAACTTTTCTTTTCTTGTTTTAGGGCAGGCTAGAACTCCTGTCATTTTTTTCTAATTGATATCTGTGTGCGTGATGGAGACATCAAGAAGAACAGGACGTAAGGGGGGAACTCCCAAACTAGGCCTCAGACAACAACAAAAAACCTACTCGCTCTATTATAAAAAAAAAAAACAGTTACACTTTAACTCTTTAAAAGGAAGCCAATTTCCATTTTATAATGTGTAGATATGCAGTTTAAACCCAGCAGATCAGGGGTGAGCAAACTCTGGCCCTCCAGCTATTGTGGAACTAGAAATCCCATGAGGCACTGCAAGATTCTCACATCCACAGCCGTGACACCCATAGATACAGATGCATGATGGGATTTGTATTTTCACCACAGCTGGAGGGCTGGAGTTTGCCTACCCCTGCAACAGACGATAACCATGTTATCTTATCGTGTATTGCCCTGCGTGTCAATAATGTTATCTAGATAATCACAAGGAAGTTACACATAGGCTGGTCTCAACGTGATAAACTACAATGAAATAAAAAGTGACTTTAGTTACTAACCTGCCACACATAAATGACCCCCTACAACAACACAAAATCTAAAACAGGTAAACAAGTGTATTACTGAGAAATCAGAATGTCCATGAAGACTCTGCGA